TTGTTCCAAGAGATCTGTGAAGTGAAAAATGTAACAATGTATGAATGCTGGCAAATCACCTTTTGTTCATATTTTAAAATATTTTATTGTGAAAATTTTTGATCTGTACCATAGTGAATAATCAGTAATGAGCTGCACATGTTTTAAAGGTATTAGTCCTTGCTGATCTTTTTATTTCTAAATGAATTATGTGAAAACTTCCCAAGTGTTCTTCTTTAAAAAAACGTGATTTTCATGAGCTCTGTGTTGCCCAGGCTTGCTTTCAAATCTAAAAGAAATCTACCGAGTTGCAAATGGACAAGGGAGTATGGGATCAATAACAGAGGAGGTGAGGCAGCCTTCAAAAATGCTATGCACAACACCTAATAGATGTTGTGTATAATCTACATAAATCAGCTTTTTGTCGTGTTTATTATAGTTCTAACATCAATCAAGATTGGAGATTGCTTGTATGAGGCACATATATAGAATATGAAAGAAGAGATGTTCCTTGCCTAAAAGGGGACATAAGGCAAGGAGAAATCTGTAACATATAAAACAACCTCTGTGCGTATAGCGAAATATTAGTTCTGTAATTTCTTTGTTCCTGCTTTATGACAGGAGGGACTAGGTAAGCAAAGCAGGAGGTTGGATCGGTGTTGGAATCTCACAGCCATTCAGTGCAGTTTCTTGTTCAGGGGAAAATGAAGGAGTGCAATATGTTAAGGACTGTTTTTTCTGTCAGGCATAGTGTCCTCTTAAGCGATTTTGGTTTGTATGTTTTTCATTCTCTTTAAAAAAAACCCCAAGACAAACAAATCTTCCACTTTCTCAGTGATGATGGTTTTTTATGGTGTTAGAATCTACTTCTCTTGTTCTAGTTTTGTCCATGTAGCATTTTTGCTTGGTTTTGCTGTACCTCATTCTGGTCAGGTGTCCCAAAGAAATATGTGTTGCTATTAACCTTAATGCTTATTACTTTTTTTTTTCACCTTCAACGTGATGCAATATTCTGCATTCATGATTTTTTTTTTTTTATTTTAATAACTTCACTTGATGCAGTTCTTCAGCACTTCTATAGCTTATTGCTGAGAAAGGGTTGTGCTGAAGGCTTGGAATTACGTGCATGGAAGGATAACAAAAGTCAGCTGCCTTCCCAGAAGGTAGTTCAGACAAGACCTACGGTGATTGAATCAGCTAAGAGGCAGTCTCCTTTCTCTGAAGAAGTGTATTATTTCTTTTATTATCTCAAAGAAGTGTATTTCTTTTAATGTCTCAAAACTTACTGTCTGCAAGCTTGCAGTCTGTTAATGCAGCACCTTGCTAGTTATGTGTTGAGAATACGGGATTGTTAAAGATGCTGTTGGAGAGGAGTTTGCTAATATGGGGATGGCAAGCTACCTTCGTTTGGCAAAATATGGAAGGATTCTGTTGAATTTGTTTGTTAGGATTCCTGAGAGTTGTACTGAGCCTCTGAAAGCAATAGGGGTTAGCTTAGAATAAGGGTAATAATAAAAGTTCTGCCTGTTACTTCTACCATCTGCTTCCCAGTCTCATAAAGCCTTAAGCAAACTCATATGTAACAAAACGCAGTCTTTACTTTGGTTACAGCTGCAGGTGTGTACATATGGAAAACGGAGGTGTTGTAGCTAGAGGCTGTGTCTGTATACCTTGTGTGCTAAGGGCTTCTTGTGGGTTTTAAGACTAAAGGTGCTTGTGTTTTCATGAAAAGTGCTTGCATTTTTTCGGTAGCCTGAAAAAGAGTCTTGAAACTCAAGGCCTGGGGAAGAGGGAAAGAAGATGAAATAACTTGCTGAAGGTGGGGACTGACCAGAAGGCTACAGTTGCTAAATGCTACAGTGTATCAGTGTAATGATTTACTCCTTGAAGGTTAGAATGTTGCAATGAAAAATGCATGTGATGGTAAGGATTTTAAAAACTATTGAGTTGAAAATTTATTTAATAACACTTTGATGAAACTGACAGTAAATAATGAGAATTTACATGTGTTTTTGCTGAGGAGAATTACTGTCATTGTAGCTGGAAGGAGCATCTTACTGTGTGCAAAGCTAGAGAAGGAAAGGAAGAAAGAGGAGTGGAAGTCTGGAAAAGTGTTGAGTATTGGTAAAGGTGTATTTATCTAAATTCATCTTCAGAATAGTTATTTGCTGCATAGAACATAATACTGGCTGGATAGCTCCTTTCCTACTGCTGTCAGACTTCTGTATCTTAAACAGAGAGCATCAGATTTCTACTGTTGTCCTCATGGTCCTCTATAGGACAGCCTTTCTGCCACAGTAATGTGGGGTGTCATTGCTGCCTCACCTGGTACAGGACTGTAGCTGTTCAGCTGCATCAGGCATTCAAGGCAACTCCGTCATACAACAATAATCATTTATTTTCCAGTGTTCAGTGTGTCAGCAAATACTGGCAAAGCAGGAACCTAACACAGTTTTGGCAGGGTTTCTATTGTATCCAGGCAATGACCAGTCTTTTTAGTCTACTCCAGGTTCTACTTGAGGTCTGCTGCTGTGGCTATGGTACCACCCCTGGTGGTTTCCGTGGAGAGAATTCCAATTCAACACCTTATGACGCATAAAATCATCTGTTACTGTTTGTTCTGGTTTATAACTCTCCTCTCACTTGCCTTGTGTAGCATAGGATTGCATGCTCCTTATAGTTTGATAGTGCTTCATAAATAGCAGGGCATAAAACCAGCTCCCCCAGGGCAAAGGCAAGCTCTTGTTCTACCTTGGTCACTCAAGTTCAGGAAACTGCTTCATCACATCGTAACTTTGTAGGAGATTAATAATGAAATGGTGACTGAGTTTAATTTATGCCCCCTTGCTTTGCAAAGGAGGTTCATTTCATGTCAAAATAATGTTTTCATAGTGTATTTTGTTGGGTTTTTTTTAATTTTGAGAGCTAAACTAATCATTACAGTGTGTTACTGCCTGTTCCACAAGATTGACTTGCCCTTTCAGCTAGCCAGACATGTAACTTAGACTTCCTTTCTAGTTATGAGAATTGGAAATGGCAAGAGAATGAAATCCCTTATCCTAAAGCCAGCTTTTCACCATCCACTGTATTAGCAAATCTGATTTAATTAGTTGTTATGAAACTTTTATTAATGGAAGCATAGGTAAAGCTTCTTTACATCTGCCTTAGGAGAGACTAGCAGCAACCATGGGAAGAGATTTACAGGGCTTAGCTATGGTGAATAGATGAGGGAGAACTTATTATGGTATAAACTAGGGAAATAAACAATATTGAGAAAGATGGCAGCCAGACTAGCACAAGAGGCGTCCCTGCCCATGACAGGGAGGTTGGATTAAATGATCTCTAAGGTCTCTTCCAGCCTAGGCCATTCTATGATTCTATGAGAGAATGGTATTGGCAATGCTGAGGAGTTCCCTTCTGCATTTGTATTCTCTTCCTTTACTTCAAGTTTTTTTAAAAAAAATAAAATAAAAAAGTATTTTTTAATAGAATTTTTTAGCAGACATAAATGAGACCTCTCAAGCAATAGATGACTGAGACATACCTGTGGATCTTAGTATATGCCAGGTGTCACACTATTTCTGCTAGATCTCAGACTTCACAAATTTAAAGGGAAAAGGCAAATTTTACCAGTGTATAAATCGTCAGTTGTTGGTGAGAGTTGAGGCTGGTCAGCTCAGCTTTTGTAGCATTTGGAAGTTTACAGGTAGGTCCTTTGAATCCTTTTTTGTGTATTTTTTGATAAGTTGGAAACTTCTGCTGACAATACCAAGAAGCTGAGTCTGCAGTAAAAAACCCCCACAAAATGCCACAAAACACCAAACAACAAAATAAAACCGAAACTCAAAACCTCAAACAAAAAGAAAAGTTCAAAAAACCCACCTGTCTAACCATCCCAATGTCAGTCTGGTGAAATGAGTTCTAATTCCTGTCTGGACTGATAGAAGTCTTGGCCAACTTGGGCCTACATCTTTAAGAATCGAAATTATGTGGAGCTCCACTTACTGTTGGCCAAGTTATTTGTCCTTAGTCAAACAAGTGAGAGTAATCACTCTTTAAATCCTTTTCCATATTAATCTCGTTATAAATGTTCCCTTTATAGCAATTACTGTTACAGAACCAGTTTGTGTTGGGTGGGCGAACGGTGGCCATGCTGTATTGGGCAGCCATCCAGCAGCAAATTATACTTGAGGTCTATATATACTGCAGGAATTCAAAAAAGCCAGCATATGACAGAATTGATAACATTTGAAAGCTTAAAGAAATAAAACATTCCTGATCACTTGTGAGGAGAGAAAAGTTCTCAGTACTCTTATTGCTCTTCCTAGTCAGATCACTGAAGAATACTGCTGGGGATGTTGCTGTACAAGCTGCTTAGGAAGGAACTAGCTAGGGATGACAAATTAGTAGAAGACATTTGCTTTATACAGTATTTCTAACTTTTCATGACTGAAGGCTGCTCCGTGAGTTACTTATTAAAAAATAAGTATTTGTTTGTCTTTCTGTTAATTTTTAGCTGCACCAATAATCTTTTGGTGATACATTTTAAATTTGGTTTAGACTTGTAGGAGAGCTTAGTAGTCAATGGTATGTGTATTTAAAAATAAATGGCAACTTATGGAAGTGTTGTGAACTTTGTATCTGATCATCTGTTTTTGTTTTCTTACAGTCACATTTTCCTCTGGTAGTTCATACACTGTAATAAGCTTAAATTCAAATGTGTGTTGAAGCTGCTTATTTTTTCCACTTTGTTCTATTGAAGTTTCTTTGTAGTGTGCACACAAAAAAGCACAACGACGGGACTAGTACATTCAGATTTAACCAATGGAAATACAAAGTGACTTGTGCAAATCTAACCTACGGATGAGTGATAGAAAAAACCAGTGACATGCAACACTGAGAGACCAAAATGAAGTAAAATATGCATATTATGGGAAGTGTCTTAATTACTTATTCAGAAATTTTATGTGTCGTAACCTTATGAACATTAGAATACTTAGTTCATTGCAGAATTAATTAGTTCCTGTCTTTCCTCTGCCACAGGAACGCATTATACAATGACAAATGGAGGAAGTATCAACAGTTCAACACATTTACTCGATCTTCTGGATGAACCGATTCCTGGAGTAGGAACATACGATGACTTCCACACCATCGACTGGGTTCGAGAGAAGTGCAAGGACAGAGAAAGACATAGACGGGTACTGAAGATAAATAACAATACTCGGAAAATATGTTTTGTTGGACATTGGAATTAATGTCCCATCTAGTAACATGTACAAATATGTGAATGCTTTAAGTTTGTAAGTAGTTGCATCAGCTAGAACTATCTGAATGCTACTAAGAAGAGCACTGTTTCATGCATACCTGCAGCCTTGCAACAGTATTATAACTTGGAAAGGAAACAGTAATTTAACAGAGCCAATATAGTTCTCGGTCATCTGGCTGACGTTACAGTACTGCCTTTGTTTGCATGCTAGTGTATTTAAGGTTATTTTCCAACATAGGTATATTTGTAGTAGAACAATAGTGCTCATAGTAGTACTTGTGCAGAAAAGTGAGCCCTGATGTATATTGCTTTTGTGCTGACACAAGTGTGTCTGTGCTACTGCTGTGTGCTGCCCCTGCTGTGCAGATTATGAAAAGTGAAAATGCTCATATCGGTGTATATATGCTTAATAAAAAAGTAGTCTTGGTATGTATGGTAGGTGTCCTTTCCACTCTCCTATCACCGAACGTGCTTTTTGCCTCTTTTCTATTGACTTCATCCAGAGATCCTCCAAGTTCAGGCATTTCATCTTTATTAGTGTGCTCTGCAATTAATTCTTTCATTAAGTGGACTCAAGTTGTATTAGTAAGAGGCTTGATACTATCATTCATGTAACAGACTTTTTTAACAGCATTTTAGGAGGAAATATGCTATTTTGAGCCTTATTGTCAAACTTTTGGGGTGTTTATATCAATTAACTTTAAAACCAGAACAGGTTTGGAGATGCCATTTCTCCTAAAATATCTTTAACTGATCAAAATACATAACTAAAAATGAATTGTAGTTGTATGAAGGGATCAGGGGAGAGGTTCCTTCACCTACAACACTGTGGTATTATTCTGGTGGTTTTTTTAAACAAAATATTTGACTTTCTAGAAGCAAAATGTAGGGTATATATGCTGATTAACTTTGACAGTTAAAAAAACAAGTCTTACACTAGTGTAAAAAACAAAACCTCCATAATTGCACTATCTAGCACTTTTTTAAGGAAAAGAGATCCTTAAGCAATGAATCTGAGAATATCTACCTTGTTTGAATGTCTCCCATGTAATATTTTATTTCATAATTTGATGTGTATGCAGTAGTTAATGCTATCACAAAGTAAATAAGGCTACAATAAGAATTACTGGGGTTTTTTTCAGTACAGTAACTTTAGATTTCATTAATAATAGTTGTCTAGAAGCATCTCAGGGTAGTTAGCCAGGTTTTTGGTTTGTTTTGGTTTTATGTCTTTTTTAGTCTAAAGAAAGATGTTTGTATTTCAAATAGAAGTTTAGGAATTTCAGTTGTATGGAATATCTTATTAGTAGTACACGAACAATTTATTTGAGGTTCAATAAAAACAATTTAAGATTTAGGAGAGAGACAATTTTGCAATTACATGTTTTAGATGTGTATCATATAAAGTATTAATTTATCCTAATAATGCATTTCCTGGATTTTAGTTCTTTAAATTAAGCAAATTTACTTTCCTTTGTCAGTTGCTTGATGTCTGAATAACCAGGCTGATTTACCTATGTAAAGCATGACACACTAGGAGAATGCGTGTAGTTCAAAGAGAGGGTATATTTGCCTGCATCAAGCAGGTTGTGTATCATACTGACTTTTTTTTCTCCTATTTGTGTTACAGAAACCCAAGTGTACATAACGATTTCTCTTTGCAGATTAACAGCAAGAAGAAAGAATCAGCATGGGAGATGACAAAAAGTTTGTACGATGCATGGTCAGGATGGCTAGTAGTCACACTAACTGGTTTGGCATCAGGTAAATTAAAAACCAGGATTTCTTCCTTACATGCATCAGCAAGTTACTGTGCTTTTCATTTGTGTGTTACCCACCAACCTGAATAAGAGCTGGTTTAGTCTAGTGCTGTAATTCCATGAGGGAAAGGAAAGGTTGACTATCTTGATTTACAGTCTTTAGCATTTTGAGGCATGAGTTTACTAGTCAAATGTAAAACAAAATCCTCACTGAATTTTGGGAGAGTTTCTCAAAGTTATGGAACTTCCACTTACTAAATTATCGATGTTTTTTAATCCTGTGACTGAGATTGATGTTCTCCCGTTCTATTAAATTTTACTTTTTTCCTGTATGACTTCTTGTGAAAGTCTGTTAAAATAGTCGATTGTGCTAGATTGTTTTTCTCCTATGGATTTATTTTGGGTTTTCTATTATTTTTTGCTAGGAACTTTACTGAACTTGTTCCATATGGACCAAAAAGTAGCTTTAGTGTATGTGTAGTTTCTGTAAACACACTTCCTTATAAAGCGTACTTTTATACATGAGCAAGCTCTAGCTATGGGTTTATGCCAGTAACTTTCTAGATGTTGTTACAAAGAAACATATTAGCTTTAAGAGGTAGAGTTTGTTGACCTCTCCTTCAACTCTATCTTTTCTTTTAAATGTGTTTTAGGGTGAGTTCTACAGCTAAGATTATCTGATAGTTTGTGGGCCCACTGTCGTGCAGTGCTGTTTTTTATCAGCATAGTTCAGAGTGACCAATGCGTGCGGGAGTGGTAACTCACAAAGTTTGTGCCCAGTTTTCCCCAGAAAAGTATTTCAAACAGAGATCTTAGAAAAGTTGGGTTAGTTGCAGAGTATGGCTATGCCTGTTAAAAAGGCACGGTAACTGTATAATCACTACTTAAATAGATTCATAACCACTTTCACGAATCACATATAAATTAATATATATGCAAAGTTGGTAGTATGTTTATATACCTCAATGTACAGACTGGGAGTGTATAATTACTGGTAATTGCTTTTTATAATTGAGTGCTAACGCATGCAGTGCTGTTTCCACCCCCCAAGCTGCTACATGTATTAAAATTGCTTTACTGTGTTTCTGAGCAACAAAGCAAGCAAACTCTGGCTGTAAACATTCCTGGGGTTTTCCATTTTGGTGGCTTTCTGTTGTATGTGGCTAGTGAATCTTAACTGGTACAGCCTTGATTTCACTATGGGGAGATCTTATGGTTTACGTATTTTAATTAATTTGGTCAGAACTTTACTCTACTGAAATACTGTCTTTGACATTGGTTGGCCCAGGATCTCAAACTGAGGGTCTGTCAAGATTAGCAAATCTAGTAAATTGGAGGTAATTCTCTTTACACAAGTGTCTCTAAACAGCTATTTCTAGTAGTGATTAATACATATAAAGTAGTAAATTATGGCTAGTTAACAGGTTTACCTGTTTGCAAAAATACTGCCTTTAGGAGTAGTTTTTTCAGTATACTGCTGCCATGAAAAAAATATTTTGCTTATGTAAAACAAAGGAGGGTTTAAAATTATGTTTAAGTCCTTTGAAGCAATTTCTTAATGCCTGTTTTTCTGAGGGCTCTTCAGCAATTTTTCTGCATGTAATTATAACACAGAATCCCTCTTAAGCTTTGAGTTTGTGAACTCCTTATTATCTATACTGTTTGCTACCTGCAGTAAGAATTTTACGTGCTCTCACCATGTTACAAAATTGAGTCATTTTGTGTGTGGATCACATGAGTGTTGTCAGGGTTTATTTGGTGCTTTATCTGTGTTGTTCTTGGCAGGGTAAGAATTACTTTCTCCAGATATGCTGTTCAGTACCAAACATAGTAGAACAGTTGGTGAGTTCTCTGAGGCATGGCAAGGTAGTTTTGTCAGCAGGTCTGTTGTCTTTTTCATCAAAAAAATGTTATCAGTCCTTGGGAAATATACAAAGTACTGAATTTTCAGCAAATACTAATCTTACCATATTGCTTATAGGAGATATTCCTGGAAATCAGTAATATTTTAAATGTCTCTTTCTTTCGTTTTTCTGTAATCAAAATTTCTGTGGATCGATACCAGCACATTGCTTCATTTTAGCTGTGTGTTATTCTTGTTTACCAGAATATTAATACAAAACTGTTGCTACAACAGGGGCATTGGCAGGATTAATTGACATTGCTGCTGACTGGATGACTGACTTAAAGGAAGGCATTTGCCTGAGTGCTTTGTGGTTTAACCATGAACAGTGTTGTTGGGGTTCAAATGAGACCACGTTTGAAGAGAGGGATAAATGTCCACAGTGGAAAACATGGGCCGAACTAATAATTGGGCAAGCAGAAGTAAGTATATACCCATCCTTGGGAGGGGGTCTTGCTCAGCAGCTTGACTGAACATGGAAAGAAAATAATGGTCTTACAGTCAGAGTTCTAAACAGGCATTTGGGTTGTACTCTCTGTTCTCTTTTTCAGCATCTGAATGGATTGACAGGTGTAATAAATGTGCATTTCGTGCACTGCAAGGGGGCTTGGGGTGTTGTAGGTGTAAGGAAGTTATGAGAGTATAGAACTGTTAATAACACAAGAATTTCTATTCTTAATTATAACTATACATAAAAAATATGAAATTTGTGGTGTTCTCCAGGAACTAAGAATAGATTGGTTTTAGTTTTTCTACTACAGAAATTTTTAAATAAAAATTTACTCAGTGTTCAGTAGACTTAAGCAGCTAACAGCTATTAAACCCCCCAACCTTGTGCTATACTTATTTTTTCTTTCTAAAATGAAGTGTTAGAACACTTTCTACCTTGTATAACCCAGTTTGCTGATGTGCAGGTGTCTTGACTTGATGCTTTTCAAACAAAATTCCCTCTTTCTTGGCTTACTGTCTCTCAAAATGGATGCAGAAGTGTATTTGCAGCAAGAGTAGTTCTGGGTTATTTTCAGTAGTGATTTTGCTCCTACGTCAAATTTATTTTCTGACATATTTTTTTGTTTTTGTTTTTGCTTTTAGGGTCCAGGTTCATACATAATGAACTACATAATGTACATTTTCTGGGCTTTGAGCTTTGCCTTCTTAGCAGTTTCTCTGGTGAAGGTATTTGCTCCCTATGCCTGTGGCTCGGGCATACCTGAGGTAAGGTCTAATACATGCATTATAGAGGGTTCATATTAATGTTCCTGCTGCTTTACAGGGTCAAGGGAAAGGCAAGAGGGAGCACCGTGTGACTTTGATGAAATACATTAATACAAGTATTCAAATGGAATAAAGTAATTGTGCTAATTGTTGCTGAGAAAAATAGCTCAAAATTCAGAGAATCTCTGGAGTTTGTAAATTTTGCTGAGTGCTTCTGGATGGACTATTTTTTTATAAAGCATTTAGCATAAGAGAACAGAGTTCTGGATTGATTTCCAAACCTCCTCCAACTGCCACCCTCCCTGCAAGTGGTAAGAGAGCAGTGACTCATTAACAGAATATGGGCCCTTTGATACAGCAACTGATCGTTTGTTGCGCCGGTTTTAAATCGCACAAACCATCAGACAGTCACAAAGTAACATGTAACATCCCCCAAAACTTGCTGTTTTTACACTTGCTGTCTGCTACTATGCACTGCATGGCAGGGAAAAACCCCAAGTCAAGGTCTGATCAGACTCATTTCTCCAGTCATTCTGTAAATATTTCTTTATACATGTAGAAGTTGAAGGACAAATCCTGCTTCTGAATAAGCCTGGGATGGTTCTGTGCCATTATTCCAGAAGATTTTTCATCTTAAATTGGCTTCCAAACCTTTACTTTCTAGACACAGCTGCCCAGTGTTTTGTGTGTATCCTATTTATAGACATGTTGTCCTTTCCTATGATAACTATATTATTTCTTATATATGGGCATATTTCCCAGGCTAATGTGACGCTGTTAGGCAAAGTAGTAACTTAGACACATGATACATCTTTTCTAGTGGAAAAAGGCTGATATTTTCCATCTTTGTCAAGGAATCTGCTGTTAAATTTTTATGCAGAGATGGTAAAACATAATGAGAAAACAGAGAGGGGTAAAAGTGGTGCAGATGTGATATTGTATAATAGATGACCTTGAGTACAGTTTTTGCAGGTTAATTTTTCCTTCGGAAGTTTTTTGACTTTCACTTGATAGATTATATCATAAACTGATGAATGCATTCTTAGAAGCTACTGCTGTTTCATTTTCTACTAAATGTAATTGATAATGTTGTTGTATGTTACTGTCTAATGTTTCAGAGTAAATTGTAAATGGAAAGCCTCTGGCAACCAAATGGACTCAATGTAGCAATCTGAACAATACATGTTTTGAAGTGTGATAAAGTTAGTAATTTCTAAAAGCTATTTTTAAAGTTATGCAGCTGAAATGATAAAAAATAATTATTTTCTCAAGAAAGCAGAATGCAATAACATACTATTTTTTCTTTCTTCCAGATAAAAACTATTTTGAGTGGCTTCATCATCAGAGGTTACTTGGGGAAGTGGACTTTGATGATAAAAACAATTACTTTAGTCTTGGCTGTTGCATCAGGTTTGAGTTTAGGAAAAGAGGGTCCCTTGGTACATGTTGCCTGCTGCTGTGGGAATATTTTTTCCTACCTCTTTCCAAAGTACAGCACGAATGAAGCTAAAAAAAGAGAGGTAAGTTCTTGTAAATCAATTTCTAGAATGTATTGAATATCCATGCATTTACACTGATCTCTTTGAAAGATGTTGATATTGGTTCTCTCGGACAGTTTTTAGGTTTGGATTATCAATAGTTATTTATTGTGTTAAGATCAACGTATTATCTCTAATGTTGTCCAAGGTAAATTGTTCCCATGTTGGAGTGAATATGCATTTCTCCCACCTCAGAAACCATTTGATTGTACTGGAATTCTTTCTGTTCTTGGCTGTACATTTTGGTAATTGATTAGTGTCTTTATTTGTGAGGACAGCAAAGGACTTTTGCATCTGTGTGCAGATTACTCCTGAAGAAGGGTTGACGACACTGTGTTCCTGCTCTGTTCCAGTTTGTTGCTGTTGGTAAGAGTGCGGTGGGTTAGCCTTGGTGCCCACCAAGCTGCTCTCTCACCCCTCCTCCTCAGCAAGGCAGCAGGAGAAAATGAGAAGCTCATAGGTCAGGATAAGGACAAAGGGATCACTCACCAGTTACCATCGCAATCAAACCGGTCTAGACCTGACGATTAATATTATTGTGTTATAAGTAATTATAAAATAATTTTTTGCCAATTCATAACAGAGTAAGGTAGTAGAAATAAAAGCAAACCTAAAAACTCTTTGCCTCCACTGTCCCTTCTTTGCAGGCTCAACTTAACTCCTGACTCTTCTATCCCAAAGCTGCCAAATGGGATGGGGAATGGGAACTGCAGCCAGCTTGTAACACTTTGTCTCTGCTGCTCCTTCTTCCTCGTGCTCTTCCCATGCTCCAGCACGGGGTCCCACCCACAGGAAACAGTCCTTCACAAACTCCTTCAGCATGGCTCCTTTCCACACGGTGCAGTCCTTCAGGGATGGACTGTGCCTCCACCTGGATTCCCCACAAGCTGCAGTTCCAGCCAGAACACCTGCCCCTGCATGGGCTCCTCGCTGCAGGCTGTGGCTCCCGGCAGGAGCCTGCTCTGGCGTGGACTCTCCACAGGCTGCAGATTCCATCAGGGCACGGGTCCGTGCTCCCCTGTGGGGTCCTCCATGGGCCACAGGGTGGAGATCTGCTCTGCCATGGTCCTCCATGGGCTGCAGGGGAATCTCTGCTCTGGCACCTGGAGCACCTTCTTTCTCCCTCTTTTCTCACTGACTTCAGCCTCGGCAGGGCTGTTCCTCACACTTTCTTCTCACTGTTCTCTCTCACAGCTTACCCCATCTTAAGTATCTCTTGCATCCAGAATGTTGATAAATGTGTCGAGTGGGACTAGAATTGAACCCTGAGGAACACTGCTGGTGACTGGTCGCCAGCCCTTTCGCTACAACCCTTTGAGCCATTTAGCCAGTTCTTCCCCCAGCACACTGTGAACCTGCTTATCCCACAGTTGGACTTGTCCAGGAGGATGCTGTGAAGGACAGTATCAAAAGCTTTAATAAATCCAGAAAAAGTATATCCACTGCCTTCCCTTCATTCACTAGGCGAGTGACTTTATCATAGAAGGATATCAAATTGGTTAAACAGGACTTTGCCTTTGTGAACTCAGGTGTTGTCTGTGCGTGATGATTGCATTATTCTTTAACATTCTTTCAGTAGCACCCTGTGTAATCTCCATAATTTTTTCAGGAACTGAGGTTAGGCAAACAGATCTGTAGTCCCCTGGTTCTTCCCTCACACACTTTCTGTAGATTGGAGTAACACCGGCTACCTTCAGCAGGGACCTCCCCAGACTCCCAAGACCTTTGGTAGGTGATTGAGAAGGGTCTTGCTGTAACATCCTCTAGCTCCTTCAGTACTCTGGGATGAATCCCATGAGGGCCGATGGACTTGTGAACATTCAGCTGATGCAGCTGATCCCTTACAATTTCAGTGCCCACAAATGGAAAGTAACTGCTCCCACGCTTGTGATCCTCTGCCTCAGGGGACTGGGCAGCCCAAGGTCTATCAGTTGTTAAAGACTGAGCCAAAAAATACACTGAATGCTTCCACTTTTTGCTCATCCCAGATGACCAACAAGTACTGGTCCAATGTTTTCTTTAGACCTTCTCTTGCTATTAATGTACTTTAAAAAGCCCTTCTTGTTATCTGACATAACACTGACCAGTTCCAACTCTAATTGAGTTTTGGCCTGTTGTATCTTCTTCCTGCATATACAAACCACAACTAATCTTCCTGCAAAGCCTGACCTTGCTTCCGAAGATCATACAATTTTTTTTGCTCTCGACCTCCACAAGGAAACCAAGCTGGTCTTTTGCCCTGCTTGCTTGACGTATGACACAGTGGAATTGCCTGCTCTAGCACACAGAAAGCTTATTACAATTTCTTGAAAATGAGATATCAGCAGTTTCATACTGAAGCATAGACTCCTTTGCGTGCTTCACTGGGGAGGCTTTTAGCAGCATCCTTGGCTTCATCATGGCTAGTACTTGGTTGGTGGCCTCTGTGGACACGTCCTGTGGGTGTTCTGATACGCTTACTTGATGTTCTTCTGTTAGCAAGTCTGTGCGTCCTTGGTAGAAGCACAAAAGAAACCGATAGCTGTAATGAGGTTCTGTTGTTTGTCTTTACAGCGTATCACAGACTTCCAAAAAAACTCCTCCCTGTTGTTCTTTTCCAGGTGTTGTCAGCTGCTTCAGCAGCAGGAGTATCTGTTGCCTTTGGTGCCCCAATCGGTGGAGTTCTTTTCAGTCTGGAGGAGGTATGTCAAGAGATGGCACTGAAGGATGGGCATTTTTAAAAATCTTTTTTAGCATGAATGATCTCAGGCTCCATTAAGCTGCAGAGTCCTTCCTAAGGAGGACATTATTTTTGGACTCAGTTTCAAAGTCAAGAGTCCTGTTACGAGCATATTCCTAAAGATATTTTTTCTTTTCTTTGGATGAATGTCAGCTTTGCTTTAGTTCTCAGTTGTGTTTTTCTGGAGAAGCGCCAAGTCAGTCAATAATTACAGTTTACATACAGATAGAGATACAGAAGTTTTTCACTCTAGAGGTATATTCAGAAAAAAAAAGTTTTTTTTCATTTTGAAAAGGCTTTAGAAACTAATTTGACAGTTTTGTGAAGCATGTATTTAAACATTACTTTTCTTGAAGTTTTAGTTCCTAAACACAATTGAATATGCTAGTGTTGGAAAGGCAAAACTAACCTCCAAGGCTACCAAACTCTCTTCTCCCATTAGTGTTTCAAATGAACTTAGTTTTCAAAATACGTAAGAATGTTATTTAGATCATTACCACTTAAAAAAAACCAAACCAAACCTAAAAATCTCTGAATTGAAAAAAGGAAGCAAAATACTATTTTAAGGAATTTCTTTGTTGCCAAAAATTTCACCCCAAAACCAGAAAAAAAAATCTCTTGAAACTCAAATCAGGCTATGTGGGTCGTGTATGAATTCACATGCTCAGTTTTGAGGATTTTTTTCTTTAGTGTTTTAATCACACTTCATAAAAATAGCACATCTGCCAGAAACCGTTCTGTGCGGGTTGAAGGGTGCAGGAAGTCTGAGAGAGCAGCGAGTGTGCAGCCTGGTTCTTATGAATGCTATAAAGAGATTACTTATAAACAGAGAAGCTCTTAAACATAAATTATTTACTAACAGTATTAAAACAGCAGTGGTTTCAATACTGCTTTACTATTGACCTCAAACCCGATATAAACATGAATTATTGTAGAGCTTTTAAAAAACATAGTGTATGCTGAAATGCCAGTGCTCCAGGAGGCAAGAATAACTCTGATAATGTAAGAGTATTTTTTTTAGCATCTACCATATAAGCAGCAGGACTTGAACCTGTGCATAAAATAGTCTTTCCAGTATTTTTCATTGATGCACTAATAATTCTCATGTATTGTCTTTTGCAGGTCAGTTACTATTTCCCACTGAAAACTTTATGGAGATCGTTTTTTGCTGCTTTAGTAGCTGCATTTGTTTTAAGGTCCATCAATCCTTTTGGTAATAGCCGCCTAGTTCTTTTTTATGTGGAATATCACACTCCTTGGTACCTTTTTGAACTGCTTCCTTTTATTCTTTTGGGAGTATTTGGTGGGCTCTGGGGAGCGTTTTTCATCCGAGCAAACATCGCGTGGTGTCGTCGACGCAAATCTACAAAATTTGGGAAGTATCCTGTCCTGGAGGTTATCATTGTTGCAGCAATAACAGCTGTCATTGCATTTCCTAATCCATATACAAGGCTGAACACCAGTGAGCTTATTAAAGAGCTCTTCACAGACTGTGGGCCATTAGAATCCTCCTCCCTCTGTGACTACAGAAATGACATGAATGCAAGCAAAATAGTAGATGATATTCCTGACCGTCCAGCAGGCACTGGAGTCTATTCAGCTATATGGCAGTTGTGTTTAGCACTCATATTTAAAATAATCATGACAGTCTTCACCTTTGGTATCAAGGTAAGTGTGAATGCAGGGGGTGTTTCATCCGCTGTGATTATTTAATTACTATCTTTCTCGTTTTCCATCTCTCAAAGCTAGCAGCTCTGTTTACAGAAATTTTTTTCTTGTGTACTTCTTTTTAAAAAGGTCTTTTCACTGTTGATTAATAATCAAATCATGTCAAAAACAATATTAAGTTTAATTAAATTCAGAGTAGCCTTTGTTCAGCTGAATAGAAACGTGCTAAATTTAATAGGGAACAGTAACTGTGTAGATGGATGGCTGTTTGTGTGGGCCTGATTCAACAATAAGGATGATTCTAAAATTTCCAAGAGCTGAGTTCAGCCGAGTTCAGACATAACCACTTAGGTTCCCCAGTCCTGTTACAGCAAATAAGGGAAGATGGTACCTCTTGAAAAACTTGTAGGGTTTTTTTTTAAAACCATCTCCTCATTTATCATGTCAGTGTAATTACTGCAGACTGTCAAAGGGAGCTGATGATGATTTCTTTCCTGAATTTCAAGTATTGCCTGTCATGACTAAAAAGGAGGCTTTGTTCATGTGGCTGTAACGGGAATTTCTTCTGCATTACAAAGGAGTGTAATTTTTGTTTTTCCTGGTCGTTTATCTGTTTTGGAGCTTTCTTCAGCTTCTCTCAAAGCTGTGACCGTTTCTTGAATGATATAGCTGTCATACTTTTTATTTTCTGTCTTGTCAGGCTCCCTCTCATAGTTTTTTGCACTACATCATTATCAAATGCATCTTAACACAAACACATTGTGAAATGTTCAGGATTCGTGGTTAAACTGGCTTGAACTTTTCAGTCTGTATTGCTGTTCCATGTAACTGGAAGCTTGAGAAAACACTTCATTACTGTGAGAGTGGTTGAACACTGGAATAGGTTGTCCAGAGAACAAGGACTCAGTTTCCATCCTTGGAGATACCCAAAACCTGACTGAATGTAATGCTGGGCAACCTGCTGTAGTTGACTCTGCTTGAGCAGAGGTAGACGATCTGGAATGGTCACGTCCAACCTCAACCTTCTTGTCATTCTGTGACTGAGAGAACAATATCGTGTTGTGTTTCTCACGTGTTGGTATTTTAGAAGATGTTGCATTCTGTTACTTGAAGTTATTTTCCCTATGTTGGTTGACAGGTAAGAGAAATCCATTTTGTGTATTTCAAATGCTAGTCTTGCGTAGGTCAGCATTTCAGACATTGTTCCAAAGGCGGCCACTCCAATCTGTTGTATTGTTTTGTATTCACTTAGTGTATTTCTCTTACACTTAGGGCTCTGCCTAGGTCTAAGTGTGCATCTGGCTCTTTCTCATGGGATTGTCACCACAGCGTCACACTTTGTGTATTAGAATTCCCTAGATTACAGAATGGTAGAGCTTACATTTAATTTCATTTTGGTTCATTTTCTCAGAACTTTAGCATCTGCAGTTTGGTGGAAATATGTTTGTGAAGTTGTAAGAATATATTAATTACTTTGCCAGCAGGCAGGGAGTCAGGCTGCCATCACTGAGGGGACTGTGCTACATACTTCTCTCCAGAAGCTTTAAAGCGTGTAGCTAGTTAGAGTGACAGCCAGTATCTGGAAATGAGATTATCAATTAATGTTACACTTATGTGCATTTTAAGCTTTATTTCTATGAAAAGAGGAGAAAATTCAAATTTTAATAGGGAAAAAAAAAGACGACTTATTTAAATCATTACTAAGAGTCCTCTGGGCTCTCCAGGTCTGTTTCTGGCACTGCAGCCACGTGCAAACACACATCTGCCCCACAGGAACTGTTTTTCTGTGAGGTGAGCAAAGCGCCTTAGCTGCTGCCTGTGAGGCATGGCGATTCTTGCTGCTCTTAATGCCAGGAACAAGGGTCACCAGGAAGCTGAGCTGGCAGAGATTTGGAGGTTTGTTTTGTTTTTCTTTCAGGCTTTTTTGTACATATACTGTACTGCTTATTATCAGCAGACTCGTTACTGTGTAAATTCTGATGACCACCCTCTGAGGTGGGATTACAGCTTTGCCTCACAACCTGATGGGTATGCAGCTATGCAGCTGAAAAAGTGGAAAGCTGCACCCATCCTTGCTTGTTTCAAAGCTAATACCTGTGCCACAGAACAGATCGTTTCCTCTGTAGCATAACTTGCGTTAGGTTGGCATGCACTGCGGAAGAAGGCTGAGACAAGGCAGAACCTAATATTTTTTTCCTTGCTGCTTAGGGAAGGTTGCTCTTCACTTTGTGACTTGTGATTCAGAGGCTTGTACAAATGAATGCAGCTGTAAAATCATAATTAGACTTGTAACCATTATCCACATGTGACGGAAGGAAGAGGAGCTAGGTGCATAAAAAAGTTATGCTCTCAAAGGACCAGAAACAATTTGGATGCAATTTCCATGTGGAGACTGAAGTTGTGGTATAATGTTGTAGCAGACTAGAGTCTGAGGCAGTTTCAAAGATTTATTTAATTACTTGTATATCTGTAATGTTATTTTTTCAGAGTGCTATTGAACTCTTCACCAAGAAAGAATTTCAGTCAGAAAAAAAAAAGTAAATTGATTTTAACAGTTAGAAAGGAGTTTAGGCGTATGATTAATTGTAGGAAATAACAGTAGTGGTATGCGTGCACAATTTGGATATTACACTAAAATGACAGCATTGAACAGTTACCTGTATCAGCACAGAAATATTAGGTAATTCAAGATAAGAATGAAGGAATATTAAACTTTTTCCCTAAAACCTATGCTGCTGGCTTTGAAACACGAAATTTGATGTTTGTTTGTGGTTTGTCTGTTAGAAATCATCTTTGGAAATATAAATATTGGTATAATCATGATAATAATAATTAAAATATTGTGAAATACAGTTCTGCACCAGGTATTGGATTCCATGGCAAAATCTGTACTTAAATTTCATAGCTGTTACACCAGGTACAATTTTTTAATGAAGTGATTTTGACAAGATGGGTTTACGTGCATTTAGACAAAAAATAAAAAATTCTACTACTTATTTTTAATCAGATCTGTATCTCAGTCACAATAGAAAGTATTTTGATACCAAGAACTGCTGTGAGAAGAAACAGCGGGCATTTGAAATTCTTAGACACCAGTATGAGATTTGCAAAGACAGATGATCCTAAGGATGAGAAAAGATACATGACAGCAGTTTCTCAGATGAATCCTCACTTCTTACGAAGTTGCTGATAAAGGCAAGGCTTGCAATAATGTTTTACAAAGCCATATTAGTATGGCAAGGGTGTGTGGCCTTTTCAGGTTTTAGTTAAAAACAGAAGAACAGTTTAAATAACTAAAATTGTAGTAGGAACTTCTTTTTTACAGTAATGTGCTCTCTTTGCAGTGGGAATTGTCCTGCTTTTTTCTCTCTTGGTGGATTTAGCATTCTATCCATGCTCCTTTTTATGGGAAACTGCAGGATAGTAGGCAAAGCCTCTTCTAAAAATCACTGTTTAGTTGGCCATTTAATTTATGGCAATGTTAGGAATCAGTTTGGTAAGGCACCCCGATTTGCAAAGCTTGTAGTAAATGAATATTGACTTAGCGCAACATGAAGTAATAAGGGAAATCGAAAGAACTTCTCAGTACTGGCAGCACAAGTCAGACTGAGGTGATAGATTTGCTCTTAAAAACAAACATCCTCATAAAATGGATTCAGCTAACCAGATTGATCAAAGGTATCAATAGCATTGTGTCAAGTTTTACTAACCTTGCAAGGTCAATTTTCATGTTTTTAGCCTGGTAATTGGAGTATTTACATCTCTTTTGGAAAAAAAAAATTACTTGTAAAACGATGCATCATGTACGTTCCCATCAGCATGACAGCAGTTCTTCTGGTTTTGTCGCAGGTTCCATCAGGGTTATTCATACCGAGTATGGCAATCGGAGCAATAGCGGGAAGGATCGTGGGAATTGCAGTGGAGCAGCTGGCTTACTACCACCATGACTGGTTCATTTTCAAGGAGTGGTGTGAAGTTGGAGCTGACTGTATCACACCTGGTCTTTATGCCATGGTCGGTGCTGCTGCGTGCTTAGGTAAATAAGATATGACAAAGTAAATAAGTAGCTCATTTCTTGTATGCTGCTGTCCTGGCATTGTTGGGATACAGTCATAGAATCAATTTTTTACTCAGGAAAGCTGCATTTCTGAGAAGAGTAAAGTTCCTGATTCAGTGAAAACAAAGTTGCTGAGACACTTTGTTTGCATTTGTGGCCAGCTGTGGTGTGTGGTTCTCCATTAGTGATCAGGGTCTTTACCCTTGGTTTTGACCCAAGCTGGCCAACAGCAGTATTCCATGCCATAAACAGCACACTCACTGTAGATTAGAAAGTTTGCTGGGGGTGGTCTCTTCTCCTGACGGCTGCCATCCCTGGAGGGTCTCGCCTGTCATCCACCTCCCGAGGCTGCTCTCCTGTTTACCATGACCATCGCATTTTTGCTGGAGCCGTGGTGCTCGCAGTGCTGGCATCCAGCATTCTCTGCTGGGAGTGTGCAGCTTGCAACCACTGCATTGGCTGAGTACAACTTCATGCACTTTGTATTAATACTAATATTAAGGGAGTTTTATTATTTTTATTTTATTAAATCTGCTTCCATTTCAACCCACGGGTCTTCTTTCCTGTGCCCAATTCCCCTTCCTGGGGGAGGAGGTGGTGGTGGTGTGTTGTTGGGTGATAGAACAACTGGCCAATGAAAGGAGATAGAAACCTGTGCAGTTCTGGAACACATTTTTTATGGACTTTTCAGAATAATACGTTCACATCTCTACATGAGATGTCACATCCTTGTGATCTGAGGAATAATGTGCAATTTAAATTGATGAGAAATAAAATTTAAATAGTTTTTGCTTTCTCTTTTTGGTATCAAGGTGTCATTTTCTACATCAGTCAGGAAAATTGGTTTCTTGGAATGTATAAAGTAGAGGATTGGCAGAGTCAAGTACTGTTAAAATTATTACAAGAAGCTGATTTGATCAGCTGCCACGTCTACATGAATTGCAAAAAACATTCTTGAAATTCATAATCCAAGCAAAACTTTCAGAAGTGTCTGATGATCTGGGGAGTTCAGCTTGCGGTATTTTTAACAAGTCTAGTTTACAAACTGGAAAATCAGCTTCATGGAAAGAGGCTCAAGCTGGGCATCTAAACTAGAAGAGGTTTTTTTGAAGGCCTTGTTCTAGCTTGTAACTTGGTTGCCTTAGAAATTAAACTTAGAAGCTATTAGTACAGATACTGCAAAAAGTAGACCTTTTCCTTAAGGAAAAGTGCATTTGGGTAATCAAATAAATGAGTGGTACAAATATAGGTTTTGGACATGTGATTTTGTTTTTTAACGGATCAACCTGAATCAATTTTGAAGGCATTGAAAGAAGGATCACATCTTTTTATTTAATGAAGATATGGCATGAGAAACCTTGGCAGAAAAGACATGTCAAATACTATACAAAAGTGAAATATAATCCCTGTCATTTTGTCCAAGAAAGAGATTTCTTTTCATTAGCTCAGAATTCAATTTAGCTTTTATGATTCAGCAACAGCATTAAATTCCTAAACTTTTGGACAACGCGGCTGTTAAATTGCTGCCCGTGACTTCCCCGCATTAGTTCTATTATTTTTCCAAATTCTTATCTTACTGGATTTCCTTGCATTTCATAGTATTTTTAACCCAGGTGTGGCATGGAGAAATACATAATTTGATTCTTAGTTTGCATTAAGTAACTGCATATATTTTTCAAATCCCCTTATTCTCTCACTTTCTAGGAATTTTCCCTAAAGCTCTCTGGTTTACTGTTTTACTCTAAAAGTACTATGTTTGTTTTTCCTGACTGCTTCTGTTGGTATTACACAGAATGATGTTTGTCAGATGACCTTTAAGGGCAAAGTTGCACATGTAGTTCTCAACGGGAAGGCAGGAAATTCTAAACTGGCTAGTATCTGATACTGGAATGTTACTGGCTGCCATTTTCCTTGCAGGTGGTGTGACAAGGATGACCGTGTCCCTCGTAGTTATTGTCTTTGAGCTAACGGGAGGGCTGGAATATATTGTGCCCCTAATGGCTGCAGTCATGACCAGTAAGTGGGTAGGAGATGCCTTTGGTAGGGAAGGCATCTATGAGGCACACATCCGACTGAATGGATATCCTTTCTTGGATGCAAAGGAAGAATTTACTCACACAACACTGGCTGCCGATGTTATGAGACCTCGAAGAAGCGATCCACCTTTAGCAGTTCTGACACAGGATAATATGACAGTTGAAGACATCGAAAACTTGATCAACGAAACCAGCTATAACGGTTTTCCTGTTATTATGTCAAAAGAATCCCAGAGACTAGTGGGCTTTGCTCTAAGAAGAGATTTAACTATTGCAATAGGTAATTATCTTCCACTATTGCATGATTTTGTATGTCAGTTTAAATGGTTTTTTAGCTTAAACCAGAATTTACTGTGTGTTTGTAGACTTATTTCACATTCAGATACCTCACACAGGCTGTCTGTTCCTTTACTGAAGGCTCTGAAATGCAGAAAATTTTTATCTCTTTGTTATAAAAACAAAAGCTGTCATAACGAAACAGGTCAGAACCTCATCTAGGACAGTATTTTTGTTTGTTTGGAGGCTTTTGCTAGTATCCTTTTTCCTCAAGCAACTCTACGCTAACATTCTTTTTCAGAAGTGAGTAATTCTCATAGAACAGCAGGATTCTGTGACAGTTACTGTCCAAGTAATTTTTAAATTTAAATGTATGTTGTACTTTTCTTTGACAGAATGCAATTTACTGTTGTTATAACAACTAAGATTTATTAGAGAGAGAGAAGCAAAATATTAATGATTTTAGGTTTCCATTTTTCAGATTGTCTAATGGGAAATTTAGCCCTGGTCACATGAGCACACAAGCCCTGTTGGGGCTCTGGGTGAATATTAGAACTTCTGTGAAACTTGTGGCAATGCCTTGTGCACTGGCAGGAAAAAATCTGTGGATTTTGAGGATACTGTCTTAACTAGAGGATAAAAAAGAGCATTGTTATGTAAGAAAACGTTATGAAAGTGTAACATCTAGTGCATGAAATCAGTGATGGAAGTTGTGGGTTTTTTTTGTAATTCATAAGATGGTACTTTGGAACGTATCTCTTTTACAAAGACACTTGAGAAAGAGACGTCAAAGTCTCCTGAAACTTTTTAGAAATAATCTTTTGTGAACACAACACTGTTTACTGCAGTAGAACTTTTCACTGTGGTGTTAATACTGTGTGTATGCTGTAGGATTATCTATGTAGGATGTATAGGAATGTCCAAAACTTGGAAACTGTTATAGACATCTTACTGGTTTAAGTTTGCATTTACTTAAGAGTAAATGCAGCAATAGCAGAATGTTCTTTTAATACTGTACTTTCCCAAGTAAGACTCATTTCAGCTGCAGACATTGCAGTCTAAGTTGCTTGGTCTTGGATTTTGGCTGGCCTAACAAGAGTCATTGTGCAAAATAGTTTGGGCTGCAGCAGGGAGGGAAGCTATTGTCACCAGGGTGATGAAGGCATTAAAAGGAAGAGGATCCTGTTCACAAAAAGCTATATAAATTCATTATAATGAGAAGACAGCAGTTTCAGAGTGATCAGAAAAGGAGTTCTTTGGTTTCAGACCAACAGTAATTGCGGCCATTGGAGTGATGACAGAGGGGTTGTCAATTGAGATTGCCTCTCCCCTCGACAGTTTCTTCAGCAGCCATCTACATGCTTCCTGCATGTCGTTTTTTAAGTCTCTCCACTTCTTTAATTTAAAGTTATTTATTGGAGTGAGAAAGGTAGTAGCCAAAGAATGACTAAAGCTGTATGGTAGATGGCTTTTGTGATTTCTGCACAAACACTTCCTAGGGTTAAAGCCGTGCCTATGGAAACACATCAAAACAGCGTGTAGCACAATATCGGCACCTAGAGCATAACATCAGGGCCTGGTAGTGTTGGCTGATCTGTTTGCACTAAATTATCTTACTCCAAGAATGTAAATTCTTCCTTCTCTGCTGTTTTCACCCCCTCGCCTCTTTTTCTTAAAGAAAGTGCCAGAAAGAAGCAAGAAGGGATTGTTGGCAGTTCCAGGGTCTGTTTTGCCCAGCATACCCCATCGCTTCCAGCAGAAAGCCCTCGACCTTTGAAGCTGAGGAGCATACTTGATATGAGCCCTTTCACCGTGACAGACCACACACCAATGGAAATAGTGGTGGATATTTTCCGGAAGCTGGGTCTGAGGCAGTGCCTTGTAACACACAACGGGTGAGTAAAGTGGCACTGGTGCCGTTCGTTTTGTCAGAAACAGTAATTTTCAATTCCAGGATCAGAGTATTTGAACCAGGATATATTCCAGGATCGTGGTATTTGAACCCGTAAGTTTGGTACTGCGACTGAGGCCCCTCACGCTGCAGCACCTCCCAAATTCTTACTCTTCCCTTGCATGCTAAGTAAGCTGGCAGGTGATTTTGGCCATCTTAAGATGTTCTGTTAAAAATTAGGTCTCGTTCAGCAAGTTTTGTATGCGCATGGAGGAGACACAACTTGTGTTGCAGAAATTCAGTCTTGTGTGGCGCACAACTGAAGGCCTGTATTTCCTCATTCTTATATATGTCCTGTGCAATGGATCAGCCGTTCAACATCCACGGATGTCTGGGGTCATAAAAAGTAAAGGAGAAAATGATCCAGTCAGTATCTCCTCTTCTGGAGTTTGCTGGCAGCGATTATCACCAAGCTCTCATTTTCAGAATATTAACAACTAAATAACTGCTACTAGTTACAGAATCACAGAATCATCCAGGTTGG